AATACATATTACTTCTAATCTCAGTGTCAGTGAGCTCTAACAATACATATTACTTCTAATTTCAGTGTCAGTGAGCTCTAACAATATATATTACTTCTAATCTCAGTGTCAGTGGGCTCTGAAAATATGTTATTTCTAATTTCAGTGCCAATGGATACTGACAATGCAAAACAGACCTTCTTCCCTTTTTTTAGGTAAAATATGAATCTTGTGATTTTATAGCAGTCTGAGACTTTAATTAAAACAGAACATTTATTCTTAAAACTATAGTTTATTTACTTTTACTACAATGATAGCTTGAGAAAATACTGAATGAATACAGGCAGTTCTTGTTTCTTATGAGTTAAACAAAGCACAAAATTAACTAGTGATGGGTCTGGGAAGTGAATTTTTATATTTAAACATTAAATTAATCTTTTACTGTAATTTCTGGTGTACTACAGTCCAACCAAACCGTCTTGATAAACCAGCTTCTACAATGTAACTGTTTCACTGTGTTAGAAATCAATAGTTTTTTAAAAAGTATTTTTTCCTGGCTATCAAAAGACAATATTTCATCTTAAACCCTGAAAAGCTGAATTTCTCTACCATAAATCACTTACAAATCACACACTTCATATTTGCACAAATGTAGGTAACTACAACGTACAAACTAAACAATATACAAAGATAAAAAAATCTCACCTTGAGATGCATGGGATATATTTGAAGAAAGTCTAAAAACCAAAAGAAAAATAATTAAATATTTTCAACCACCATAAGCTAAGTATTTCATTACTTTATTTCATAAATGGAAATATAATTTTTTTTCCTTACTAAGAAATTTCTTTCACACTCATTAAAAATAAAAATGAAATGAATATTTAAACTCATCATTCCCACTTACTACAAAAGTAAGCTTACTAGATATTTTACCTTTAAATTATCTTCAACAATTAAAACTAAAAAAAAACTTTTCTGTGTTTTGTATATTTGTTGAATTTTGCACAAATCTACATGAGAGCTATCTGCATTAATAGTTGTTCCTAATTTTGAAATAAAAGAATAGAGAGAAAGCAGCTAGTCAACACCAGCCACTTTTGGGCTACTCTTGTCACAACATGGCCTGGCATGGCCAGGTGGTAAGGGTGCTCGACTCCCAATCTGAGGTTCGCGGGTTTGATTCCCCGTCTCATCAAACATGCTTACCCTTTCAGCCGTGGGGGTATTATAATGTGACGGTCAATTCCACTATTCGTTGGCAGTGGGTGGTGATGACTAGCTGCCTTCCCTCTAGTCTTACACTGCTAAATTAGGGATGGCTAGTGCAAATAGCCCTCGTGTAGCTTTGTGCGAAATTCAAAATGAACAAACAAACTTGTCACAAGAAATTGTGGGATTTGACCATCACTCTTATACCACACTCAAAGCCCCAAAGTTCAGATCAAAATTTATTTTTTTCAGTAGCAGGAACCCCAGCTTCACAGTCCAGCATGCTAGTCACTGAGATGTGCTTAGCCCATTCCTTTTATTAGAAACCCTTCTATACGTTTTTAAGAGGCAAGAATTGAAAGTGTTGATCTGGTACAGTAGGGTGATATAATGAACATGCTCTCATATTCCCTAGAATTATTATGACTACATAAAGAGAAATGTGAGTGAAATTCCTTTGTTACAGTAGAGTGATAAAATGAACAAGCTCTTGTATTCCCTAGAATTATGATGACTACATAAAGTGAAAGGTTCATTTTAAAGAGCTTTGAGTTTGTGAATTTGCCACAAAACCAGATTTATGACTTATAGCCTTTAACATTTTTGGATTTTTATTGTATAAAATTAGAATGTTTTTATTCAATAACAAATAAATAAGAATAAAATACATTTACATGAAAAGCACATGTATTTAATTGTATCAGTTTGGCATCATGAAATTCATATGTCATTATTCAACAGCTGTTAAATGAAAAATATTTTAATCTTCACAAGGTAGCTCCTTCCTCACATACTTAAATTTTCTGTCACGTTTTTGAAAATTTGAAAAAGGAAGTTAGGAGTGTGAAGAATTCATATCATCATCCATGACAGAGCAAACTGTAAAGATAAACAATGTTAAGAACATTTAGTTTTTAGCACTTGTTAACTAGATTGTTATTCAGTTTTTTTTAGCTTTGTGCAACAGAAACGTAATGTACAGTGTGCTGTTTCAAGAATGTAGAAGGAATGAAATATCAGAAAGTATATTGTTTCCATTAACCAAACAGTTTAAATGAATAAAATTGTTCAACAAAAAAATTGTATTGAGTACATTCTGTTCTCTAATTTACACATTCTGGCCAATTGGTAATCAAGCCTTACATTTCATCCTCTTCAGCTTTCTTGCAAAGAGTTGGGGAATTGTATTATTATTTATTCCAATCATTATGGACAGAGTGAAAAGAAGAGAAGCTGTAGTGTAAATTTGATTCATAAAACCCATCAAGAATCTTATGACAGAAAGTTCTATAAAAGCAGTGTGAAAAAATTCTCTTACAAATTAAAAGTTATCCAAAACAGATACTATGATCCTTTTTAATCCAGTAGAAGTTTTTAACTAGTTGCTCACCCATTAGAAGCATAAACTACAGGTCTCACACAAACAACTGAACTGTGGTGTCCTTCTTCCCTCAAAACAGTTGCTAGAATAACAAAGAATACAAATGTTTATGGTGTTGAAATTTCTAAAAAACTAAAATCTGGCTATCTTTTAAGAATCCCATTTTTATTAGAGATGTTCTGATCAATTCTGACACAGTTTTTTACTTGGTGATAAACCTTATAAATACAGAAACAACTCTAACAGTTTAGAGATATCTTCACACCAAGAAAACTTAACAATGAAAAACATCTATAAAGTCTCCACTGTATTATTAATTTTAACTTGCAGAAGTTTAGGTAACTAAAATGTACAAACTAAACTATACGTGAAGAAAAATTATCAACTCAAGATGTATGGGATATGTTTGAAGAAAATCTAAAACCAAAAAGTTAAATCCTGGTATAGTTGTCTAAAAACACTTGCACATAAAGACCAAACGATTACCTGAGTTATAAGTTGGTGACCTAAGTGTCCATTCTCTCACTGATTCTCCAGCCGGGTCAGTGGTCCAGTATGACTTGTGCCAAGATGAAGCTTCTCGTAAGTCCCAGAGCACAACAGAACCATCAACCTAGTATTAGTCGACATAAAAAAGCCTAAACTTATCAATAAAAGTTTTGCAGTCTGTTTTGGCCAAAATCAACTTTTTGTAAATAAAATTAGAAAGGTAAACATAAAAAAAATTTGTATCATTTACATATCTTGTTAAAGTAACAAAACTTGCATGATATACGAGTCATATTTTAAAATATATAATTATGCAAGTACTTTTACTTTTGATATTTATGTATCTATGCATTATTTAAATGTATTTATGATTTTTCATCATATATAATTATATATATATATATATATATATATATATTTTTACAACTCTTTCAATAACTATTCTCTGAATTTTACAACCTAACTTCATAACTGCATTTAATTGCACTCAAGAGTGAGTGCTGCAATAATTTCATTAAACAGACACTACATGGCTGCAACTTCACTTTATATTTATCATGCAAAAGTAAACTCAGTTTCTATAGAACAACAAAAATATTCACAAAAAGAATAATAACTTTTCTTACTAAATCAATACATAAAAATTCAAAATATGGCTTCAAGTTTATTTTGAAAATAACAAAATTGAATAAGGGAACTAAGTAACAAATTAACGATCTTTATTCAGTGTGTAATATATTTAATATTAGTTATTATACATTATTTTATCAGATAAACTATGTTTTATGTATACTATAACCTTATAATGAAACTAATTACTGAGTTAAGCCATAGTTTTAACAATAAAACTTATTTTATATAGCTAGATTTGTACTTCTGTATTAAACTAATGAGTATGGTTATAGTTTGAATTCTACAACAGTCAGCCAAAAGATACTTGGTACAGAACTATAATTTCCATCTTTCCTTTCAACTGCAACATAAAAACTAAAATGAAAAAAAAAAAGGAGAGAACAAATGGAATAAAGTATATTATCAAATCTTATAGTTAGTATAATCCAGCTAAAGTTGAAACCAGCCACCAGTAATAAAATTTTTTGAACAACATTAAGCTACCTGCAGAATTCACAGTCTTAAAGCATTATTACATTGAAAACAAAAAAGGAACAGAAATAAAACGTTAAAAATATGTTCTGTAAAAGAAGTGAAAACTCTTGAAAGATTATGAATATGTGACTTCTAGACTATAAACACTTCTTACAGCAGGGAATGTTAACACTTTTAAGTGTTGGTACTAAGGCAAATTAACACCAAGCAGCATTAATGTAATATAGGTATTTTACACTTTAAAATGTTTACATGATAGCTAGTTAGTGTCAAAGTCAGATGACATAACTACAACTTAAAATACTGTAACTTATCTTTCGTTTTAAAGATTTTTACAAGTACGTTCTTGTGGAAATCTGCAGGTAAAAAAACTTCAATTCTGGAAATTGATTTGCATTTTACAAATTTGACTGGTAATTTGCAGAGTTTGACCCTTAGTTCCAACCCTAAATGTAATGTGGAAAAGTTTCATAGCAATGATCTTTACTGCATGTTGAATGTCAATTAACCTAAAGTATTTTTCAATCAAGTCTTACATTTATGATTTATTTGTGACTATATCCAAATTCAATGACAACATAATATTTTTACTCTTTAAATGTGCAGGCAGGGAAATTGTTTAAACAAATGGGTTAACAGTTTTCTATTTGAAATAACATCA